GTCCGTCCCCATCGTCACCGCTACCCACACCACTCTCTCCGCCGTTTCTGCACCATCACTCTCACCTCCATTCTTACCCTTTCCCTCTGTCTCTTCCTGACCCCCACCGCCCTCCTCCCCCGCGCTCACGGTTCCATCTGGAGCTACCTCCCCTGGGCGAATCCCTTCCCCCACTCCTCATGGCCTGAAGGCCATGGCCTCAGCTACGCTGAGCTCCAAGCCGTCTTGAAAGAAACCCCCAGCGCCCAGAAGGCTCGCGAATGGAGCACCTACTACACCGCTGGTCCGCACCTGGCCGGGAAGAACCTCAGCCAGGCGGTCTGGACCAAGGAACGCTGGGCCGAGTTCGGGGTCCCTGAGACTGAGATCGTGGCATATGATATCTTCCTCAATTACCCTGTGGATCATCGGTTGGCATTGCTGAAGAAAGATGAGGTCGTATTCGAGGCAACCCTGGAAGAGGACGTGCTGGAGGAGGACCACACCAGTGGGCTGCCTAACCGCGTGCCTGTGTTTCATGGATACTCGGCCAGTGGGAATGTCACGGCGCCGTATGTGTTTGTGAACTACGGCACTGTGGACGATTTCCAGGACCTCGTGGATCGGAATGTCAGTCTGGGAGGCAAGATTGCTATTGCCAAGTATGGACGGATCTTCCGCGGATTGAAGGTCAAGAGAGCGCAGGAACTCGGTATGTCTGGGGTGATTCTGTATGATGATCCCGAGTCCGATGGGGAGATTATCGAGGAGAATGGCTATGCTCCGTATCCGGAGGGACCGGCTAGAAACCCGAGTGCTGTGCAGCGGGGAAGTACCCAGTTTTTGAGTAAGTTATCCTATCTTCCCGCTTGTTTGTTGGATGGAGCTGACTGAGTAGGTATCGCACCGGGTGACCCGACTACCCCCGGATACCCGTCCAAGCCGGGATGTGATCGTCAGGATCCGTATGAGTCTATTCCTTTGATTCCCTCCCTGCCCATCTCGTATCAGGAGGTGGTGCCATTGCTTAAGGCCCTGAACGGCCACGGTCCCAAGGCGTCCGACTTGAACGAATACTGGCAGGGCGGTAAGCTGGGCAGCAAGGGCGTCGAGTACTACATTGGCCCGACCCCGGATGATGTCCAGATCAATCTGTACAATGAGCAGGAGTATGTGACAACTCCTTTGTGGAACGTCATTGGTGTCATCAAGGGAGCCATCCCGGATGAGGTCGTGATCATGGGCAACCACCGCGATGCCTGGATTGCCGGCGGCGCTGGAGATCCGAACAGTGGATCTGCCGCTCTCAACGAAGTTGTGCGCAGCTTTGGCGAGGCGCTCAAGGCTGGTTGGAAGCCGCTCCGTACCATTGTCTTTGCCAGCTGGGACGGCGAGGAGTACGGATTGCTCGGATCAACCGAGTGGGTGGAGGAGCAGCTGCCCTGGTTGTCCAAGGCTAACATTGCCTATCTCAACGTGGACGTGGCGGCGTCAGGAACGAGCTTGCGCCCGAGGGCCAGCCCGCTGCTGAACAAGCTGATCTACGAGGTTACTGGTCTGGTGAAGTCACCCAACCAGACTGTACCTGGGCAGACCGTCCGGGACCTCTGGGATGGTGACATTGCCACCATGGGCAGTGGCAGTGACTTTACGGCTTTCCAGGACTTTGCTGGTGTGGCGAGCTACGACCTTGGATTCAGCCGCGGTCCGAAGGACCCAGTGTACCACTACCACTCGAACTACGACAGCTTCGACTGGATGGACCGGTTCGGCGACCCGGGCTGGAAGTACCATGAGACAACCACCAAGATCTGGGCTTTGGCAGCGGCCAAGCTGGTGGAGACGCCGGTGATTGCCTTTAATGCTACGGACTACGCGCTGGGCCTGGAGAAGTATCTTGACAAGATCAAGCCGGCGGCGAAGCAACTCCCCGAGGGAGCGTCGTTCGACTTTGGGCCGCTTGACGCAGCGATCGCTAAGTTCCAAGTCGTGTCAGCGAGATTCGACGCCTATGCGGCGGATCTGACTGAGCAGCTGGGCGACGATGTGCCGTGGTACCACTGGTGGAGGAAGGTGCGGCTCTACTTCCAGATCCGCATTGTGAACGACAAGTACAAGGGCATTGAACGGCAGTTCCTGTACCAGCCGGGTCTGGATGGGCGCAGCTGGTTCAAGCACGTAGTGTTTGCACCCGGCATCTGGACGGGATACTCGGGCGCGACGTATCCAGGATTGGTGGAGAGCTTGGAAGCGGGTGATTTGCTGAATTCTCAGGTGAGTAACCCAGATCTACGTAGCTGATTAATTTCAGCGGCTAACGAGGTCTAGAAATGGCGCGCGATTATCATTGAGCGCATTGAAGCTGCGACGAAGCTACTGCAGTGAGTCAGATGGACGTGATTGGAGATGATTGCCGATTGGCGGATGCCAGGTGACTGCCGTTGAAGCAAGGGAAGTCAAGGAAGGAGATTGTGTATGTATGTATGTCTTATTGGTGTATGTGCAAGTCTTCAAAGACTTTCTTTCGTTGGAGACAGTTGGAGAGTATGAGACGGGAGATTAGTACGGAGTAGTATCAAGTAGATAGATAGCAGTTAGAAGCGGGCATGTTGATTGCTTACCGATTATCTTCAAGTGATTGATTGCTTACTTTCCCCGCCGGCGATCGACCCACCGCGAGGCTATTCGCCATTTTAGGGCCTGCTTAGCGTGTCTTAAGACTGTCTTCTACTGCCGAGTGCCGATTAGTTGGTTGGCCCTGGTCACACGCGCTGCTTGTTGAGTCTTACTCCTCTTGTCTTTTTTTCTTTTCCTCTTCCTCTTCTTTCTTCTTTCATTCCTCTCTTCAAAATATTTTTGGGGGTAGTCTGCTCACCATGTTGGAGAAACCCGCCCGGCTGCCTGTGCGGCAGCTGGTCATTCTCTGTATGTACTGCAAATCAAATCTCCTAAGCTGATTAGTAGCTGTATACTGACCGATATACTACATAGCAATATGTCGCTTCGCAGAGCCGGGTACGTTCACTCATCATACCCTCTCAGTAAATCACTTCTAATAAATATACAACAAAAACAGTCGTCTTGACCTCCGTCCTTCCCTACCTGGTACATCTCTCCATTCCCCAAATCCAAACCCAAACCGAAACTAATAATGTACAGCCCGAAATGATCGACCACGTCGGCGTCCCCAAATCCGAAATCGCCAAATGGGTCGGCATCACCAGCGCGGTGACCTCTTTCTCGCAGGCCCTAATGGCCGTCACCTGGGGCACCCTCTCCGACACTCTCGGCCGCAAGCCCATCATCCTGGTCGGACTGACCTGCACCATGGTCTTCTCGCTTCTCTTCGGCTTCTCCTCGTCCCTCTCCATGCTCGTCATCTCCCGCGCCCTGCTCGGTCTTATGAACGGCAACGTGGGCATCATCCGCACCATGGTCGCGGAAATGGTGCCCCAGAAGGAACTCCAGCCACGAGCGTTTAGTATCATGCCGTTGGTGTGGACTATCGGGAGTATCTTTGGTCCGGCGTTTGGAGGCGCGTTGGCGAGGCCCGCGGAGAAGCATCCGGGGTTGTTTGGAGGGTCGGAGTTCTTGAGGAACTGGCCGTTTGCGCTGCCGAATATTGCCGCCGCGGCGTTTTTTGTCGTGGGCATTGCGACGGGGTGGTTGTTTTTGCATGTACGTCCCTTTCTTCTTTTCTATTTGAAAGGTTGAGGGGGTGATATGCTAATATGGGTATATAGGAAACGCTGGCTGCGAAGAAGCATCAACGTGACTATGGGTTGGTTGTTGGAGAGGCGTTGACTAACTCGTGTACTTCTTCTCGGAAGAAGAAGTCGGAGTCTCATGCATCGGATGCAGAGCGCCAATCCCTTCTGCCATCAACTACTACACATCCAGCAACAGCAGCAAAGAAAGCCAAACCAACCTGGGCCGAGATCTTCACCCCCCAATCCCGACTCGTCCTGCTCGCTTACGCTCTCATGTCCATGCACGCCATGGCCTTTGACTCCGTCCTGCCTGTATTCCTCCACAGCCCGGTGCAGGAATACGATGGCAATCCTGACATGAAACTGCCCTTCAAGTTCACTGGTGGATTCGGCATCGGTATGTCCTCCCATCCCACCCCCTCTAACCCCATCCCCCGCACCGTCCATACTAACCGAAAGAGAACAGACTCCCAAACCATCGGCATCTACTACACCCTAATCGGCATTCTCGGCATGTTCATCCAATTCCTGATCTTCCCATGGGCGGCACACCGCTTCGGCGTACTCAACTGCCTGAAAGCCGTGGTCAGCGTGTTCCCGATCATCTACATGCTCACGCCATTCACGGTGCTACTTCCTGTTCCGTGGCTGCGCAATGTGGCGATCTTCCTGCTCATGTTGGGGAAGTTGGCCGCTTCGATTTTTGGGTTCCCGTGCACGACGATTCTGTTGACGAACTCGGCCAGTAGTATGAGTGTGTTGGGGACGTTGAACGGGGTTGGTACGAGTGTGAGTGCTGTGGGGAGGGCGGTGGGACCTGCTGTGATTGGGGGGGCGTATTCCTGGGGAGTCAAGAGGGGTTGGGGCATTGTGCCGTGGTGGGTGTGTGGGGTGTTTGGGATGTTGAGTGCGGTGCCGGTGGGGTGGATTGGGGAGGAGAATGTGTTGCAGGGGGATGCAGAGGAAGTTGATGACGAAGAAGAAAGAGAAGAAGAGGGAGAGGAGGGAGGGTATGGAGCTATTGGGGGGAGGTAAATAGGATGATGAGGGGAGAAGAGGGGAGGGGTGACAGGGGAAAAGAAAAGTTGATTGATTGATTGATTATTTGTTTGGGATATGGTGCATGCATGCATATATATGATGTGATATTATGATATGATATGATAGAATGGACATGAAAGTGATATAACTATATAGTATGACATGGTTTTTGTATACAAAGGAGGTACATAGTAGTCTATAGAGTGGTATATAGATGGTAGTGTAAGCACCAACCAATCAGCATCCACAAATTACACTAGCCTACCTTACCTACCTAGGTACTACCTTGCTAGATCATGCCATCATCCCAGTCCATATTACATAGCTAGCTTACCTCTCCACCACCTACTTACTCTTCTACATTTCAACCTACACAACCACCACATCACATCTACACCAACAACACAACCCCCAAACCACAATGGTACGTCCCCTCCTCTCCCCTCCCATCCCCTCACTCCAAAACCCCCAAACCTACCACCCACCCAACAACAACCAACTAATGACATGGAAACAGTCCACCACAACAACCAAAGTAGCAGCCCTCCTCGCAATCCTCACCTCCATCGGGGGCATAACCGGCTACCTGCGCGCACGCTCCCTCCCCTCCCTCATCGCCGGATTATCCGTCTCCTTCCTATACCTCCTCTCGTACCTCCGACTGCGCGCGAACCAGCCCTACGGGGCAGAGATTGGTCTTCTGGCGTCCATTATCCTCGGCGGTGCGTCGATTCCTAGGGCGATAAAGACCGGGAAGGGGGTTCCGATGGGGTTGGGGGTTGTGGCTGTTTTGGGGGGGGTTGTGTTTTCGAAGGCTTTGCTTGGGTAGATTTAATGGGTTTGATGGGTTATGGGTGGGGGATACTAGCTAGCTAGCTCCTTAGCTGGGTAAGAGGGAGGAGGGGAGGGTACTATTGATTGCTAGGGGTCAGTCAATCTACTACTGGTTTGGGATGTATGATACAGTAGTCTAGTATTTATTTATTTTATGTGGATGAATGGATGATGCTGATGGTCTTCATTACAGGGTATACATATAGCTAAGCTGTTTCATTATTGGTGTAGTAGTCTGTATGTAGCCTACCTGCTCGATGTTGAACTTACATTTTCTTTCTTTCTTTCTTTTTGCCTCTGTCCTGCTTCCGTCCGCTTTGTAACCTCTCCATGCTACGGTTCGTGTCGCTCGCCGCCCTACACTGTAAGAGACATTTCCAATCGTGCAAGAAACTGAACTTAGCTGCTTGATCCGATCCCTTGTCTCTGTCGCTGCCCTCCATGTATTCGCATGCTCGTAAAGCTGTTATACCGTCTGGCGGGTGGCTGGTGCCTACCGATCCGCTGCATCCTCCACCGTATCCATCTCGCGCGTCGTCCCCGTCACCACCGACGCTGGTACCTCCTCCAGAACCGTCTCGCCCTTCTGTTCGGGAACAAATGCGTACCTTGCCAGCTGTGCCATCTTCTCTTCTGGACTCGTCTCATTATCCGAGTACACCAGTCGTACTGCCTTCGACTTGTCCTTCTTGGGCTTCTCCTCGCTCTTGGGCTTGTCTGCGGTTGTCTCCGCCTGCTTAGCGGCCCCCGAGATGAGATCGTCCACCGATGTCGAGATTGTATCAGGCGCTTGTGTCGTCTCACCACCGTTCAAGGCCGGCGCTTGGCCCATGTGCATCTGTTGCATTTGATACGCGTTGACCGGTGGCGCTGCCACGGCCGGTCGCTGCGGCAAACCTGGGGGCATAGGCAGGCTGCCCGACCGGGGCGGGAATGCCCCGGCCGTCTGCGGAGGGGTGTGGGTTGCTGGAGTTTGTGCGGGGAATGCAGGAGGAGTAGTTCCATACGACGCGGCGGGCGTGCCCTGGAACGGCTGTGGTGAGTAACCCGTCGGAGGGTACTGTGCGTTGGGAGGAAATTGCGGCTGTCCCGGGGAGAAATTGGGATAAACAGGGCTGGCGGTTTGAGGATAAGGAGAGGCAGTGCCGTAGGGTTGAGGGTAAGAGAACTGAGAGGTGGCGGCGGGTGCAGCGGCGGGCGCGGCAGCAGCAGGAGCAGGCTGGCCCTGCCTTATTGTTAGTCGCGTCACTAATGCTGTGGGAGAGAATACTCACGAATCCGCCCATAGTCGGGGTCTGTCCTGCGCCCACTGGAGTAGCTTCACCACTACTACCTCCAGTACGTGCTTCCGCCTTCTTAGCCTTGTGCTCTGCCAGTCGCTTCTTCAGATCCGACACGCTCTCTAGCTTGGGCTTCTTCGCTGGCTGTCCGCCAACGCCGGTTCCCGGAGGCGGATTGCCCGTCACGGCCTGCCGTTCGGCCTCTGCCTGTTGGAACTGGGTGGCTACGCGCTGGTTGTGCGACTGGATGATGTCTTCCGGGACGCCCTCCATGCCGAAGATCTCGACGTCGAGGCTGGATCGGTTGGGAAGGGCATTGTCGACTGCCGAAAGTTGCTCCTTGTGGACCTGACTCATGTGCACCGATAACCCTGTGCTGTTAGTAAAATATCGCCACGGCGCATTGGATGACCTACCTCCTGCAGTGTTCAGCCGACGCCCGCAGCGCTCGCACTTGAAGTGCTTGGCCTTCTGGTGAGATATGAGAATCTTCAAATCATCAAAGTCGCGCTCACAGTAGTAGCACCATGGACGAGCCAGAAGCTCATCCAGCGTCGGACCGCGTCTCTTTTTACCCATAGTGATTGAGTCTGTGTTGATGTGAAATGAAAGAAAAGTGATGGGTTGGTGAAGCAGCTCACTTGGTCGCCGACCAGCGCGGAGTTGAAGTGTTGCGTCACGTGGAGCTTATCATGTGACCTGCGTCATCCATCCCATCAAGTATACAATTATCATCAATATTATATCTACTTTAAATAAGACAGCTGAATAAAGGTATGGCAATCATGTATAATACAGCCTTTTATGTGCCCAATGTACATCCTTCCTGGTTGGCAATATTCACAACCAACCACGGATCGCAAAGCCCCGACGCCTGTCGCTGAAAGCACGCTCACTAATCACAGGAAACAAAAGCACAATAATACATACGAGCGAAATTAGGTTACAAGCCAGGGTAGGTCACGCAGGTCGCGGATGCGGTGGTGGCAGCCCAGGCGCAGGCGCCCCATAAGGACTGTAGTACTCCGGGTAAGGTGTGCGATACGGCTGCAGCGGCGCTTGCTGTAAAAGACCATGAGGCCCTGGGAATGGTGCCACCGCTCGAGGATCGATAGGAGCATATGGCGTAAGTGACGGTCGTGGTGCAGCAATCGGCGCGAGCTGATGATGCGCAGGAGGACCAGGAGCCAAAGGTGTCGATGCAGGCATAGGTGCGGGCGCGAGCCCTGCGTTAGGTCGCGCAGGCTCCCCATACACCCCGCCCTCCGGCTTCTTCTTGATCTTTCCCGGCTTCGGGGGCTCAGATGCCTTCCGAGCAGCCTCCGCCGCGCGGTCAGCCTCAATTTGAGCCTTAGATCGTTTGGGATTGCGCACGCGACCCTCGCGGTTGAAACGTGCCCAGTGGTTCAACATGGCTTCCGTTCGCTTCGGGTTCTTTGAGTTGGCAATCTTTTGTCGCCGGGCCTGTTCAGCGGGATCCACCCCATCCTCCAGCGTGCTGCCGGTTTGGATGCTTGCGGGAGGCGTAGGCGTCGTACTACTAGGTGCCGGTTCGATCGGTGCCAACTGGGTAGTGGCAGGTCGTGCCTGAAGGGAGCTAGCCACATGTTCCCCTCGTCCAGATGACGGCCGTGGTGCTGAGGTCGCAGCAGCCACCGGCTGATATATCTCCGTCGAAGCGATGACTCCACCTCCGCGAGCTGCACCTCTACCGCGGCCGCGGCCACTTCCACGTCCCCGAACCGCACCCCGAGGGGGTGTCGCGGATGCCTGGGCTTCGTCGACCTCGGTGCCAGGGCGACGACCACGCGTGCGCCGCTTGGGTCCGTACTCTTCGGTGTCAGTCTGAGCCGGTGTCTCGATAGTGGGCTCTTCGGAGCCAGAGGCTGCCATCTCTCGGTTAGCCGCCTCCAGCTCCGCGGCCCTGCGCTTGCGCGTTGCCTTGCCAACAAATTCCTCGCGTGGCGGGTTCTGGAACTTCGGTACGTGCTCGACTCCGAATTTGACGATGGTGCGCCAGCCATCCGGGTTAGGATGATTGGGTCCGATCTTGGCCGTCATCTTTCGAAATTGAGCGGGCGTTGGCTTGAACCCGCCCTGCGTGAATGGGTTCTGGTTGCCCACTTTATCCTCCTTGGCCTCGTACTTGTAGCCGTAGAGCATGGCTTCCTTCTTGTCCTCGAATACCTGAGGCCGTTGCAACTTCCTCGGGTCGCTGGTCGGCTTGGCATTATGGCGAGTCGCTACCTTGTGCAGCTTTTCTATAGCCATATACTCGTCCTGCCACGCTTTCAAGGCGTAGGCCACGTTTTCCGTAATAGCATACAGCTCTTCGGTCGAGCGGTGCTCCGGGTCCCGAAGCGGCGCCAAAAACTCTTCTAGGGGAGTCATTTCTAAAAATTCCCCTTTGGCAGCTTTCACCTGTTTGTACGGTCCGGGCCGTTCAGCAAATTCGTTGCCTTCACGTTTTTGGGCGCGCTTCGGGCCCCGGAGCACCATGGACCAAGAGTAGTCTAGGTCAGACGACTTCTCGTCATAGTCTTCCGAAAATTTACGGATATCATTGACACTCCACAAATTATGAAGACGTTGATCCAACGAAACTGAGTCTTGGCCACGGGAGAACTCATGAAGCTGATTAGAAAGAGCGTCAGCCTCTGGACCGTCAGCTTCATCGCCATCGACGCTTTGGTCCTTGTCGTTATCGTAAGCTTCCGTCGCCTCGGTCACGCCATTTGCAGCGGCTTCATCTTGCTCTTCGTCATCCGCTTCACTCTCGGCGGCGACCTCTGCATTGTCCTCTGCTTGAGGGTCGGCTTCGTGGAGTTGAGACTCTTCATCTTCGTCGGCACCCTCATACATGGAGAATTTGGCAATCTGCGGATGAACGGTAGCAATATGTTCTTTGAGAGCATCATATTGCGACTTGGAATCATTGGCAGACTCAAATTCCTTGCCGCACCAAGAGCATTTAGATTTGTGCGTCATGGGAGAAGGGGATGGAGACGCCTGAGTAGAAGTAGAGTGAGCGTGTAATGGCTCGGAGAATTGTCGGCGCAGCGGAGAGTCCTGGCTGGCCAAGTCCGAAGTATGGCTGTCCAGTTCCGCCTCGTTATGAGGAAGCGGAGCCATAATGGACAGAAAAAAAAAGGTGAGGAGAAGAAGTGGTCAGATAGAAAGTAGTAGGATGTGAGAATACTAGCGAAAGGGATATCTGATTCTCCTTCGAGAGGCCCAACGTGGGATCTGGCTATAGTGTTAGTCGACTAACTTCCGGCTGAAAAGTTCGCTTGCGGCGCCAAGACGCCAGAAGTAACTGCAGCGCAATCTTCTACACCAGAGCCCCGAGGGCGTAAGGGTGGGAAAGGGGAAACCAAAACACGGTCGAGCAATCGAGACAAGTGAGATGCATGAGGAATTGGGCTGCTCTCCACTGGAGGATGGACCAAAACGTTGACAGAAACGTGGCAGACATGGCTTTGGCAGGCACAAGTAGAGCGTAGTATGGGTCAGGCAGGTGATATGTAACATACCTTTGGGCGAGAGAAAATCGCGTCAGTGATTCCAATAAACTGAGAGGAACAAGATTTGAAGATGTGAAAAGATCGCCCTCTGAGGAGCGCGATAGAGCAGAAGTATGGTGGTTGTTGTGCAGAGTCAACCACGGTGGACGCCGCGAACGGTTGGCAGGGATAGTTTAAGAGGTTCGTAGTTCTTGAAGAGGAAAAGTAGGAAGCCGAGCGGGTAAGCAGAAAAACTATGCGTCTGCCAGCGCCGGCAACAAAACAAGAAACCAGAAGCGAGAGATCTAGACAGAAAAGATAGAATGCACCAGATGAAGGGATTGAGATAGATGGCAGGATATGTTTGCTGCAGAGAGGAGAAAAGAGCTGGGGGTGGGAGGGTTAAAGCTTTCCGTAGCAGT